TTTACATCGTCAGTTTCAGGTCTCCTCACCTCATAGGTAATATATACAACAACCTATTCAAAATTCGATTTTTTTGGTATGATTATTATGAAATTGGTATTGTGGTAAATAAATGAAGTTCATATTTGTGTTCTTTCTTCAGGTCTCAGTGGTTTGGGAAGAGCAAGGTCTCCATGTGTTAGCTTTTCTGTTCTTATGTCTATTCTTTCAAAGTCACTCGACGCTCAAAAAATGAAGTTGATTTTAACAACTTATGATGATTTTAGGTGATTTTAGGGTATGAAATATCAATTTAAATTCATGATTACTTAATGATCTCTCTGGTTGTAATGTAATTTTTAAATCTTTTGTGTTTTTTTTTTTTGGTAGAAACGGAAGCTGAGGAGATAGTATGATCACAAGGTAATAGTGACCCGCGGTGCCAAGTAGTGAAACTGAACAATTCTATGATTCAGTTTCAGCTAAAGAATAATCAATAAAACACCTTATATATATGTCAAACACCTTTCAGTTTTGATGAAAATGAGTAAGAGCTCACCTTTAAAGCTCATTTATAATGCAAGAATGTAATTGATGAAATTACTAACTTTTCAAACTGTTAGTGTATAATGCATTTATATTGGTTATATATTTTTGGTCTTCACATCAATAATTATGATTACTTGCAGATTCATGAAGTAAAAAGATACTTGAGTTATCACACATTGAAGGGCATGCAAGAGAAAATGCATTTTTCACAATTTAAATTATAAGGTAAACTCTATTACAAATATAGGAATATAAACCAATAGATAGTCATAAAGTTTTGTGTGAGAAATATTAAAGATTGCAAGCATAATAGAGTTTGAAAAAGGTAGTGTAGTTAATAGATTCTGAAAAATATCCCAAAGAACAAATTTCGTTAGTTGTTTGTGGATTATAAACAATTGAAACAAACAAAACCTTATAGAAGCATTGACTACTTTGTTTTAAACATAGGCTATAATACATGAACCAATTATTAGGTAAATATAATACCTTATCATCTCATCTGCTAATCATAACTCGATTGGTTCATCATGAACTCCATTTTGCTTCCAGATTCTCAAGATTTTTACACAGATTTGCTAGTCTGATCTATGTGAATCAAGATCATTAAGTAAGCAAAATGAGGAGAAACAACAAAAAAAGGTACCTTTAAAACAGATTTGCGTGAAAAAAGCTTAGAGAAGAATTGTGGAAATGTTCTTAAAGGGTTTGAAAGCTGAATGAGTTATATCACTAACAAAAGCAAATTAGTTAAGAGTTCTTAATCACCTTGGCAGGATCTTAGTCTCTAAAAAAAGTCTGAAAATTTTCCATCCACTCTTCTCTTACTATTGAGGTTTTCCACCTAACCTGAAATCAGAAGAATCATATAGTAAAATTACATTGTGAATGATAAACAAAATCAAAATGTTGAGAGGCTATTTCTGTTTTACATGGCTAATGTAAAGTGGTAAGTAGACGATGGCCGATACTACAACTGGAAGCCAGTATATATAGGCTCAAGCATCGATTGATTATAGGTTGTAATGGGTTGGAATAAATTAGAGAATATGCTGTATTCGGATTAGTTAGTATATATTTGCAATATTGTTTCAAAGATTTTAGGTGATCAGATTATGGTAGTTTTTCTGTTGTGATTTTCTGTTTTTGAAAGATGTGAATAAATTCGATAGCGTAGTATTAGGTATATATTTATAATTGTAATTATTAATACGAAACTAAATATATTAGGCTATTCGAATCTTCAATATGATAATACAATCTTATGGTTAGTTCGTATGCTAATTTGGAAGTATTTTAAATTCGATTTATTGTTTGTGTATTTATTGAGATGATATTGCTTGTGATTTCGGGTATGATTATGAAAATTAAATATGATTGTGTGTTGAAGATTAAGTCGCTGCGCAAAGCTAAAATCTATGTTACATGGAAACTCTCTTCGAGGTCCGTTTCCCGTTTCCGAAACGTTTCGGAAACGGAAACTCTTCGGAAACACGAAAAACGTCACGGAAACGCGTTTCCTAAAAATCTATGTTTGGAAACACGATGGAAACTCGCGTTTCCAAAATGGAAACGCGACAAAAAAAGTTTATTGACTTTGGAATCTTAATAAATAAAAATTGAAAATATTAAGATTTATAATACATATAACTAATTTTGCAAGATTCTTAGTTTTAAGATCTTTCTATCGACAAACTAGATTTGGAGGCATCTTTATATGATCTATGATAAAACTAATGAAAATGAGAATGAAAATGTTGGTCTAAATTAAATATTTGAACTTCAACATTTTAATCTTTATCTTTTAGAATTTTAGTTAACCTATTTAATATTGATGTTTTGGACTTGTATTGTTTAATTAAGCCGTTTTTTTATAGTTTTATGTTAATGTTATATCTATATACATATATATAATATTATATATATATATATATATATATATATATATGTGTATACGTTTCCAATCCGTAATTTCAGAAAAAAATCGTTTCCCGTTTCCGAAACGTTTCGCTTCCACGTTTCCGTTTCCGTTTCCATGCAACATAGGCTAAAATATTTGAAATCGTAATTTGTTTTTTTGCAGGTTTAAATGGGCTTCTTCATAAATAGCTCATCCAATTGGTAATTCGAATTGGGCCTCATTACACGGAACAGAAAAGTGAACTTACCCGGTTGGGATAGTAAGATCCGCGTGTTTTCTTTTGGATATTTAGTATCTAATTACACTATTAGCCTTTTAATGATTCTAAACAATTGCCTAAACTCTAGTGGCAATACATGTAATATAACACATGAAAGTTGGTTAAAAACTTTTCAATGCTGCCCAAATAATAGTATAGAGGATTCCTTTAAATGTAGACAACAAGTATATACTCTTGTCTACATTTAAAGGAATTATTAATAAATACACCGGATTCTATTAATTATACAAAATAAAATTTCCAAAAGATATGAAATGGAAAGCAGTTTAGATTTCTATATATTCCGTCTTCGTCAGTGACGACCAAAGCATACTTTTTCCTTGGATAGGTTGTGCTTTGTCATCGATCCTCGTGGTTCCTTTCAAATCGTAAGTTTACACATCCTGCATTAATCTCTCTAGCCTGTTGTAGATTTAGAGGAATATTCTTATTTGTTCAATATCCCTGTGACGGCAAAATATTATGATCTTACTGGATGATTTTTGTGGATAGGTTGTGTTAATGGGTTGTAGAGATTTAATCAGCAGTCTGCCAGATGAGATTCTCTGCAAAATCTTGTCATATCTTTGCACATATGGTGCAGTTTCCACATCGGTTCTGTCCAGGAGATGGAGGAATCTGCATTTGCTTGTAGACAGACTTGATTTGAGTGACGCAAGAGGTGATCCTCGTTACTTCTGTGATTTCGTGGACAGAAGACTTCATCTCTTACGCAACTCTAACTCCCTCAAGAGTTTCTCTCTCTCTGACCTGTGCATCTACGCATGGCGATTCTCGGGTGAACAAATGGATTGACACCGTCCTCAGGCGTGGCTTCTTGGAACTTGACTTGCATATCGAAGATAGCCATTGTATCGACACTGGCTTCTTCACCAGCGACACATTGCTTCACCTCTCATTATGCGAGTTTCATCTTGAAGGTAGTCTTCCTCCTGGGGGCGTGTTTTTGCCTAAGCTCAAAACGCTTTCTCTAGTTCAAGTGGATTTTTCATCTTCTGAGATTTATGACGGTTTCATCTCTGGCTGCCCTGTGCTCGAGGATTTTTGCCTACATAACTGCGATGATAACATCAATCTCCCGACTTGGAATGGGGTCGTCTGGAGTCCTTCCATCAAACGACTAACTATCTTTCAACATTGGCCCCATAACCGTGATGCTCACGAGGGTTGTTGTTGGTTTGACACACCCAGTCTTGTGTACCTTGACTATTCTAGTTATGTCGGGCAAAAGTATAAGGTTAATTTGGCTTCCCTTATAGAAGCTAGACTCAATATTCGATCATGGGAGCGACTTAGAGATGAAGATGAGAGTGATGAAGAGAACTATGAAAATGGTGAAGCAGAGCATATTTTTGGTGATGTCACGGATCTGGTTGCAGGGATAAGCACTGTTAAAACTCTTTACTTGTCTGCTAATTCTCTTGAGGTCAGTTTTGCTACTTCTTTGTCTTTTTGTTGTCTCAATTTGAAGTGCATGCTAGCTAGCATTGTCTCAATCTGTGTATATGTTTGTTTTGGCTATGACAATAAATCCATGTATTTCACTTGTGCTGTAAATCAATGCCGGTGTTTCACAACCTCCTTACTTTATCTTTTGGGAGTGACAAAGAAATTGGCTGGCAAGTGGTGCCATTACTCCTCAACAACTCTCCAAATCTAGAAACTTTTGTCATGATATCATCAATTTCGTTTCATCAACATACACTTCTTTGTTTTTCGTCATGAATCTGCTTGTGCCGTATTCTTTTTCTTTGCTTTGATACTGTACATGAATCTCCTTTTGCTTTCAGGGTCTTGTGCACGAAGTTACAGATAAATGTGGGGACGCCTGCACTTGCATCCCTAAGACTAAGAGGAAGAAGAAGAAGAAGAAGAAGAAGAAGAAGGAAGAGGGAGCATGCTATTTATCGACATGTCAAGTGAAGGTGTTAAATATTTCAGGGTATCATGGTACGAGCAGAGAGCTGAAACAGATGAGGCATTTCTTAGGAAATTTGAAATGTCTTGAAACAAGGTTGATATTGAAGTGAATCGAGACAAGGATGCTAATAATACGTACCTGAGAATCACCAATGCTCTTATGAAGCTTCCCAGAGTTTCATCAAACTGTCAGATCCATTTCTCTTGAATTCTCTATTATATTGTATGACGAATCACAAAAAACGTTTACCCAGTCACTAATTAATTCTATTACTTTTAGTTTGGCAGCGTATTTTTGTTAATTTATATGGCTTTCAAAGGTATACATTATTTCCTTATTTATAAGAGGGAGAGTGACCTTCACTTTGTCACTTGTTTTCTCCACACGCAAAGAAAAGGAAGCTCTCTAAACTCTCTCTCTGTGGTAAAAACTGAGAAACATCAGAATGGTGAAAAGAGGAGGAACGAAGACGAAGATTGCGATTAAGAAAATCATGAAGAAGAGTTCGCTGAGGCCTATTTGCACTAAACGTCGTGAAGGACTTTTCAGTAAAGCCTCTCAGCTCGGTTCACAAATTGCAATCTTAGCCACTCCTCCTTCTCAAGAATCCAACGTCTCCTTCTACTCCTTCGGCCACTCTTCCGTCAGATGGCGTTATCTCCGCTTTTCTCTCCGGAAAGCGTCCTCAGGATAACAAAGAGATGAGAGACGATGATGTTGGTGTGTGTTTGACTCGTAAGGATCTAGGGTTAGGGTTTTGGTGGGAGGACAAAAGTCTTAACAGATCCGAGGATCCTCAAGAGCTTAGTGACGCGATGGAGTCCATGTGGACGCTGTTGAGTAATCTCAAGAAGTTTGTAACAGTTTTAGTACCGATAACACAAATAACCTTTCCAGTCTTCCAGAGCTTCACCGAGAGCTCAAGGATAGGAGAATACAGCTAGAAAGATGATTTTAACAAGAAGAATCACCTCAATAGATCTGTAGTTCTACGGATGATGATGAATATAGATGATGTATGAGATAAGAGTAAAGTAAGAGAGAGAGGATAAGGATTATTTTCTGATTAGGTTATCCCAAATGGGAAATGTTTACACTTAAAAGACTGTTGGTACAGTCCTTAACCACAATTAAGCTAAACCGGGACAAACCGGATTTACATTATTGATTTGCGATAATTGAAAGATAAAGAGAGAGAGAGAGAGTATATCCTGTTACAAAGTTGCGTGCGGAGGAAGCTTATGTTAATGATCACGAGGACCTGAAGAAAAACGAGAAGAGCGATGTGGTTTTACACAACGGAACTCAAGAGCCGGATCAAACCCTAAATTTTCAGTCCAATACTTCTACAATTTGTTGCGTCCCTGATGATTTACCTGCAAATTTCAACGAGATCACTGAACAACAGTTTCAAATTCACAGGATTTGTGAAAGTTTCACAAATTAGCCTGTTATTACACTTCTTTATGTATGTTATTTTTGGTTAGAGATATATGTCTTATTAATGTATGTAATGAGTAAGGGTCCTGTTTGACCTTGATGAATTTTCCATATATGAGGGAAATTGATCGAACTCAAATCGGTTCAGCTTTCGTATGGTTTAATGATAACATATTTGTGTTCTGGTTCTATGTTTTGTATTTAGTTTCAAGTTCAAAAATCATGTCTTTTTATAAATCCCCTCGATCAAAAAAGGAAATATTTTTAATCAACTTATAGCTTATCTTCTCTGTATTAAATTATGCTAACCAAAAAGGTAATCATAGAAACAATGAGCATTTACAACACAAGAATCTGTGCCTAACCAGCTCTGGCTTCTTGTTAATGCATCTCTTTTGCCCTTTCATGAGATTCTTCCAGAGATTGCTTGATTGCATATAATCCTGATGGCTAAGATTCATCAACTTGTATCCTTCTCTAGCTCGAACGGAAAAATGTTAATCTCTGGCGATGACTGTTTATTCTGCTTGATGGATGTTTCGTCGATGTGTCTATACCACCAAACGAACACATTGAGTATATAAATTTCTAAGAAGAGGTATTATGTATCCAATCCGTTTACCTCTGAGATGGATGACGATTCCAGATACTCTCAGGGAGACAACCAGTGATTGTTCTTGTTGAAACATTGTTGTTTAACAATTCGGCATTGTCCTGGTGCATAAGATAGAATAAACTGTTTATGCTTGGATACAAATGGCTATCTGTAAGAAAACACAAGAGAGTGAGTTTTTTAACTTACTGTTGGTTTCTGTGAATTCTTGTGAGCATAATGTTCACTTATTCTCTCGTGTACAAGAAGAAATGCACATTTGCAAGTGATGAACAGAAGTAAAGTAGCGAGAGAGAATACCACGAGAGACTCCACCACAATCACAGATCCTAGAACTGCGAACAAGTGACAAAATGTTACTATTTGAACTGGAGATATTAGAGATGGGCATATAAAAACCACTCCCAAGTATTTCATACACGTACCATGAGCTGCAAGGGAGCTCAAGGGTCTTTTTCTGATGAGGTTAACGCGAGCCTCCGCGTGTAGAGGCAGTGAAATTCTCTCAGTGCAGTCAAGGAAGCACCCATAGTTCCCCATGTCACTCAGTTTCAGAGTCAAGACCGTGTTGGAAGAGAAACTCTTTTAAAGATGATGGAGAAAGTGTTTTAAGTATTTGAAAGAGACTTTTAGGAAATAGTACTTTTTTATTCAAGATGGAAGACAACTTCGTAACTTGGTTACAAATGATGGAGGAAGGAGGTATTTATAGCCTCCAAACTACAAAATATCTAAAATCTTTTAATCCTAAATCTAGATTATTCTTACATAATATCTGGATTATTTTATTTTAATTATCTAGAAAATTCTATAAAGATCTCTAGATTTTTATGGTTAAGGAGGTGGAAGATGATTCTAGAGAATTTCTAGAACTTGAATACTTAATTATTGGGTTTAACCCAATAATTATACTTGATCCAAAATCAACTTTAACTTTCAACACCCTCTCTTAAACTTGATTTTGCTACTCCAAGCAAACTCCTCATCTTGATAAAGTCTTCGCGCTTGAGCGAGGTTTGGTGAAAATATCGGCTACTTGATCATTTGTCTTCACATACTCCAATTGCACATCCTTCTTGTTAACACACTCTCTAATGTAGTGATAGCGTGTGTCAATGTGTTTACTTCGATCATGGAAGACTGGGTTCTTCGCCAAAGCTATTGCTGACTTATTATCCACAAAGATCTTCGTTGGTTCCTCTTGTGGCAAGCTTAACTCCTTTAAAAGGTTTCTTAACCAAATAGCATGACACACACATGAAGTAGCCGCTACATACTCCGCCTCAGAAGTGGAAAGAGTGACAATTGATTGTTTCTTCGACATCCATGTGAAAGTCGTATCTCCAATGTAGAATACGAAACCACTTGTGCTTTTTCGGTCATCTATGTCTCCACCCCAATCGCTATCGCTATATCCAACAAGCTTGTAATCATTAGAAGTAGAAAAGTGTAAGCCAAAGTTTATAGTACCTTTGATATAACGGAGAATCCTCTTTGCCGCCTTGAAATGAGTTGTTGTTGGATGCTCCATATAACAACTAACAACTCCAACGACATATAAGATATCGGGTCTTGTGCATGTTAAGTATCGCAAACTTCTAACCAGGCTTTTAAATATTGTTGGATCCACTCCTTCTCCTTCTTCGTTCTTTGTTATTGATTCCACATTCCATTGGTGTATTAACTGGATTTGAGTCATCCATCTTGAACTTCTTAAGTACCTCCTTAGCATAACCTTCTTGAGTAATGAAGATTCCATTATCTTCTTGTTTCACTTCAATTCTGAGGTAGTAAGACATCAACCTGATATCCGTCATCTCGAACTCCTTTGTCATTTCTTCCTTGAACTCCTTGAACATGCTTGGATTGTTACCCGTGGATATCAAGTCATCTACATATAAGCATGCGATCAATATATCATCCTTTTGAATTTTGATATAAAGTGCATGCTCATATGGACACTTGATGAAGTCTTTCTCCTTGAAATATTTGTCAATTCGAGTATTCCAAGCTCTTGGGGCTTGTTTTAGCCCATAAAGTGCCTTCTTTAACCTCAAGACTTTATCTTCTTCTCCTTTGACTATGTAGCCTTGTGGTTGCTCAATGTAAACTTCTTCTTCAAGATTTCCATTTAAGAAAGCTGATTTGACATCCATTTGATGTAAACTTCTTCTTTGACTATATCCTTTCGCCACCAATCTTGCCTTGTATCTTTCTACTTCTCCTTTAGAGTTTTTCTTTGCTTTGTAGTACACCCACTTCACACCAATTGCCTTATGCCCATTTGGAAGTGAAGCTAGCTCCCATGTATCATTCTTTTGTATTGACTTGATTTCTTCATCCATTGCATTTCTCTAAGTCTTCTTTTCAATAGCTTCTTGAAAGTTCATGGGCTCGCATTCCGCAAATAGACAAAATAAAGTGAGGTTTTCTTGATTTTCGGTTACCTCATAAAGCTCTTGTAAGCTTCTAAAACGTGGAGTCCTTTCACTCGAACTTTCTTCTCCTTGAGAGCTCGTTGGTGAAGTTGGTGGTGTAGTAGGCTCATCTCTTGGTGGCTCCGGACCATCTTCATCAAAATGTGGAAAGAAGTTATAATCTTCATCATTTGATCTCCAATCCCATTCTTCTTCTTCATCAAACACGACATTCCGACTAATGATAGTCTTCCTCGTGTCGTGATTATAGAGCTTGTATCCTTTGGAATTGGTGTCATCACCAATGATGATATACTTCTCACTTTTGTCATCTAGTTTGCTCCGCTTCTCATCCGGTACATGAACATGAGCAATGCTTCCAAAGACTCTTAAATGTGAAACACCGGGCTTCCTTCCGCTCCATGCTTCTTGTGGTGTATTTCCGGAAACACTTCTTGTTGGAGATCTATTTAATAGATAAACCGCACACGCGATTGCTTCCGCCCACAACTCCTTTGGTAATCTCTTACTTTTAAGCATGCTCCTTGCCATCTCAAGAATTGTTCTATTCTTTCTTTCCGCTACTCCATTTTGTTGAGGGGATCTTGGTACCGTTAGTTGTCTTCGAATGCCGTTATCTTCACAATATTTGTGAAACTCCTTGGATGTAAATTCTCCTCCACAGTCGGATCTCATGGCTTTGATCACAAGGCCACTCTCCTTCTCAACATGGGCTTTAAACTTTTTAAAGTTCTCAAATACTTCTGATTTTTCCTTCAAAAAGTAAACCCATGTTTTTCTTGAAAAATCATCAATAAAGAGAAGGAAGTAGTTACTTTTACCGAGTGATTTTGGCTTGATCGGACCACATATATCCGTATGTATTAACTCCAACGGCTTTTGGGCTCTCGTATTTGACTCATTTGGAAAACTCATTTTGAATTGTTTTCCAAGTAGACATCCTTCACACACTTGATTTGGATGTTTGATGCAAGGTAATTCTCTCACCATTTCTTTCTTCGAAAGCAACTCCAATCCTCCAAAATTTAAATGTCCAAATCGAAGATGCCATATGATGAGTCTTATTTTTATCGATTTTAGTCTTTGTTTTAGGATCGTATTTTGAGTCAACTAACTTATATTAGATAGATATTAGGACTATTTGCTTCACTTAGTGTATTACAGGACTGAAGAGCAATTATTGGAAAAAAGAGAATTTGGATTGAATAGGCACGAAAATGGGCCAAGTGTGAAGAAGTGGCCCAAGCATGAAGAAATGGAGACGGACCGATCGATCTAGCCCGAGGATCGATCGGTCCACGGAAGGCCGGTAGCCCAAGCCCAAGAAGGACGCGGGACCGACCGATCCAGCCCACAAATCGATCGGTCCGCGCTTGCCGACTCTCCAAGCTTTTCCATTTTTGTTCATTCCATTTCTTGCTCCTCCTTGTATCTATAAAAGGAGGGCTCGACCTTGTAATCAAACACATAATACATTCTACAACTTTTTAGTTTTTGTAAGCTAGAGATCTCACATCTCAATAAATATTTTTATAGCTTTCTTTTAAGGTTTAGAATCTTTAATAAAGTTGTTTTCTTTCGAGTTTATCTTTGTTCTTGCTTCTATGCTTGAGTAGTTTGCTTATTACGTTAGGGTTTTCTGAAGGGATGTGACCGATTGTTAGGTTGTTAGTTTGGGAATTTATTTTATGGTTCTTCTTCTATGTTGTTCTTAATGCTAGGACTTGAGTAGCTAACTTGTTCTATGATTTTAAGTTGATTAATCGTGACATCAGAAGTGCTGTTTAATCTCTGGATCTAAACATAGTCGAGCAAGGTGATCCATGGCCAACGATGGTTGAAGTCGTGGCACCTTGTGAACATATCAATCTTGTTTGTTAATGCTTGCCTTACTTTGTTAGGATCAAACGATGGTTTAGGTTCTGATTTAGTATTGCTTAGTTAGGTATTTACGCGATAGAGACTTGCCTATATATTCGTGAATTGAGTTCAAGAACGGTGTTTAATATTTCCCATTAATTGATTTAATTGTTTTGTCACATCCCGGATGATTTCCCTATGCCTAATATTTGTTTATTATTTTTTTAATTACTTTCTTGTTAGGTTGATAGAAAACAAACCCTAATTATATTTTATCTTAGCTTTATTTATTCTATTTGATTTTAAAGTTCATCTTTGATCTTTGTGGATTCGACCTTAAAGTGCTACGATGATTACCATATTTGATCCGGTATAGTGCAATTAGGTTTTATTTGACCCCAAAGATCAAATTGGCGCCATTGCCGGGACCAAAAGATTGCCTTTAGGATTTTTAGAATTGAATTTAGTCTAAGATTTTATTTTTCGTACTATACTAATTATTTTTATTTTATTTTTCTTTTAGGTGCATGCGAACAAGAAGCCAAAAGCCTATTGATTTGGTTGCACTTTCTATTGACGAACTTGGCCGTTTAGAACGAAGCAAGAAGAAATCTACCAAGCAAGCTGAGATGAACATGAACGTGCTACCAGAGGGAGTCAACCAGGAGGGAAACAACAACCAACCACCACGTGCCTTGCCTACTGCCGAAGGAGGGAACAATCTCCCGATTGTCCCACCTGCTGCTATCGGACCGATCGATCCTGCCGCTACTGCACCACCTGTTCGTCGAACTCTTATAGTTCTTAGTAATTACAATCCATAAGTACCTTATAAACCAAATAAAACTTTATAAAATTTTCAGATTTAAAAAGGGGCATTTTTGAAAATGGACATTTAAAAGGGGCATTTTTGAAAAGGGGCACACCAAAAGGGGTATTTTTAACAATTTCTCTTAAAAAAATTGATTTATTTAACATTGACTAAAAAAATTATCCCGCGGTATTAAAATTGATATCTATATCTATATTATTAAAATTGAAGTACCTTTTGTGGAGTATGTTTGAAGTTGAGACTTATTTACAATGAATGACATTATAGTTAATATTGAAGATATTTAAAAGATTTTGTCAAGATTTAAAATTATGATTATCCTATTATATTTATTTGATTTTTTAAAAACGTTTTTGAAACATCATATTATCAAAATTTAAAATATTATGAATATTTAAACTGATAAAAAGTTTAAAATATTACGGGGTTATATGACGGGATGGGTTTGGATCGATATTAATATAAATATACAATATCATTAATCAAACGTTACACGAATTATTATTCTTTTTATTATTGTCTTCACATCATAATATAATAATAAATATATTAAAACAAATTGATTTATTTAGGATTGACTAATAAAAATTATCCCGTGGTATTAAAATTGATATCTATCTATATTATTAAAATTGAAGTACCTTTTGTAAAATTAGTATTTCGAGAATCTAAGAATTATTCTTGTAAAAGATATTAAACCATATAAAAACCATATAAAAACCTTGTAAAAACAATATAAAAGCTTTATAAAAGCATTATAAAAGGTAATAAACCATACAAAGACAATATAAAAACCATATAAAAACCTTATAAAAGCATTATAAAAGTATTAAACCTTGTAAAAACCATATAAAAACCTTGTAAAAACAATATAAAAGCTTTATAAAAGCATTATAAAAGGTAATAAACCATACAAAAACCATATTTTTTTTTTTTCGTCAAAGTGAAATTATATTAATACGAAATGTCATTATACAGAGTTTCCACAATCCAAGAAGGAGGATCATGATTATCAGAATAAAAACATACAGTAAGACATCCAAATTGGGCAAGGTTATGAGCTACTTGATTACAATTACGATTAGCATAGCAAAAGTGTTTCTCTTTAAACTTTGAAGCCCAAAACCAGAGATCCTGAAGAATGCATGCAATAGATGCGTCCCGTGAAACACCATTAATATTTTCAATTAAAACCTTGCAATCTCCCTCAAAAATAATCTTTGTGAAACCGCGAATCCATGATTGCTGCATTGAAGAAAGAAGGGCTTGTGCTTCTGCCTCTAGTGGTGAACTCGTGCTTTTTAGTCGTGACGAACCCCAAGCCATAGCCGTACCTGTATGATCTCGAATGATCCAACCCGCAGATGTTTGCTTGGAAATGACATCAAACTTTGCATCAAAATTGCATTTATAGAAATTTTCCGGTGGCCTTGACCAAGAATATACTCTGTTTGCGGACGTAACGTTATCGGAGTCGCTATGAGCTTGCTTGTCCAAGACTTCAAGCCATTCTCGTACATCCGTTTTCGCTTGTAAAGCTACCTTTGAAGGGCTAATTCTAACTTTGTTGAAAACTAAATTGTTCCTTGATTTCCAAATTTGCCAAAGTAACCAAAAAGGTAAAAATTTATTTGTTTTAGAGATACCTATGGTACGTTGCAAATTCATCAAACAAGACAAATTTTCTTCAACATTCTCGGAGGATAAATGTGCTTGTAGTACTGGTATATGTGAGAGTGTCCATGCTAAAATGGCAAAATGACATGTAAAAAGGCAGTGGTTGATTGTTTCCTCCGCTTGTCCGCACCGCTGACATGTTGGATCTAACTTCATACCTCTAGAGTTTAGTCGGGTCATTGTACCTATAGCTCGTGTTAAAATACGCCAGAGGAAATGTTTAATTTTTGGTATAATGGGTAATTTCCATATGGCTTTTTTCAAAGGTAAAGAGCCATGGGGGGGAGGCAGCCTTGAAACTTCTTGCGTCGGATCATGAGTAGCAAACCAATATCCCGAACGTACTGTGTATTCACCCGTTTTATCATAATGCCAAATGAGTTTGTCCGGAGAAATCACCCTGGATAGATGAGTTTGATGAAGAACAGCATGATCATTGCCAACTATGTAAACTAACTTGTTTGGATTCCAGTAACGGTAGTCTCCCATATGCGTAATCAAATCACTTATGTGTAAATCTGGATTGGGAGATACCAATGATAGAGGCCGTGGCGGGTGATCGGGAACTATATTATCTTTCATTACATTGATTGAGTTGCCGTCCCCAACTTGAAACCGTGTTCCTTTTTTAATAATGTCCAAGCCATGCAAAATGGATGACCATCCATATGATTGTCGTTGCCTTGGTTTCGCACTCAATATCGATTCATCTTTGAAATAACGAGCTTTCATTAGTCGAGCAAAGAGGGTGTTTGGGTGTCGAATAATTCGCCAAGCTAGTTTTGCGAGAAGGGCGTCATTAAATTTTGCAAGATTGCGAAAACCTAGTCCTCCTTCGCTTTTTGAATATTGTAATCGCTCCCAAGCAATCCAGGATATCCCTTTGTGTTGTGTGCTTTTTTCCCACCAAAATCTCATGAGAAGAGATTCAATCTCATCAATGACACCTTTAGGTAGTTTAAAACATGACATTGAATAAACTGGCATGGCTAAAGCCACAGACTTAATCATGATCTCTTTACCCGCCGGTGAAAGATATTTAGCACTCCAACTTGTGGTTCTTTTCTTAACCCGATCTATAATATTGTCAAACATCTCTCTCTTCTTGCGACCAAATTGTTCAGGGAGGCCTAAGTATTTTCCTCCTCCACCATGATTCGGAATAGCTAAAATCTGTTTTAGGTCATTTTGCTTATAACCAAAAACCCGGGATCCAAAAGTGATCATAGACTTGGAAGTATTTATTTTTTGACCAGAGTAATATTCATAAACTTCAAAAGCCTCCTTTAAAGCAATACAATTTCGCCGATTAGCTTGACAAAAAAATAAGGAGTCGTCCGCAAACTGGAGATGAGTGATAGTCGGGACACCATTACCAATCCGAACTCCACGTATATCACCATCTCGAGCCTTTGATTTAATTAAGTGACTCAAAATATCGGCGCATAGTATAAACAAATATGGAGAGAGGGGGTCGCCTTGACGAATACCTCGTTCCGGTATGATTGAACCATACGGAGAGCCATTTATTAACACTGAATAATGGACTGTACGAATTGTAGCCATGATCCAACCAATCCATTTTTCTGAAAAACCGAAAAGTCGCATTGTTGTTTCCAAAAAATTCCACTCCACCCGATCGTAGGCTTTGCTAACATCCGTTTTTACCGCCATATACGTTTGTGAGACACGCTTACGAGCTTTTAAAGAATGCATTATCTCATGAGCAATCATAACGTTGTCTGTTATTAAGCGTCCCGGGATAAAGGCAGCTTGTGAATCAGAGACAATGGAATCCAAATGTTTTTTTAACCGCATTACCAAGCATTTTGAGATGATCTTATACAAGACATTACATAATCCTATTGGCCTATAATCTGATAGAGTGATAGGATCGTTTATTTTCGGGATCATACAAATGTTGGTGTGGTTAATAGCAGGCTTCATTACCGATGTGTGGAAGAAAGTTTTTACCTCTGTAATAACATCTTCTCCCACAATATCCCAGCATTGTTTGTAAAAACGAGCCGTTAATCCATCGGGGCCAGGAGCTCGATCATCACCAATTAGACTTACAGCTTCATAGATTTCCTTTGAAGTAAACTCCTTTGTTAAATCATCATTTATAGCATTAGTAACCGATGGAATAAAATCCGCAAAATCCATAGGAGAGACTTAATGATTTGTCGACTTATATACGCTGGTAAAGAAATGTTCAGCATGGTCTCCAATCGCAGAGAAACCTCTGAAAATTGCACCAGTTTCATCTTTGATTGAAACTATGTAATTTTGAGAGAAACGGGACTTCGTACAAGCATGGAAGAATTGTGTGTTTCTGTCACCTTCAGTCATCCATGTGTTGCGACTCTTTAATTTCCAATAAACCTCTTCGTCTCTGTAAGCTATGGCTAAATCATGTTGAATTTGAGGGATTAACAGTCGATCCGCACGAAGAAAACTCGTCGTTTTTCTTTCCAGAAGGCCTTCAAGGTACTTTATGCGTTTTGCCGAATTCAATTGAAAGTTTTGGCGACACCAGGACATATGTTTTCGACAAACTCGAATCTGATCCATGATGGAGTACCTTTGGAGGTACTTACAATACTCCCAGCCCTCACGAACATAATCTTTAAACTCTGGTACTTGGAAAAGTCTTTTATCAAACCGGAATGGTTTCCTAATGTTTGGTTTAGAGATGATGTCAATATTTATGAAAAGGGGCCGATGATCTGAGCTATTGAAATCCAAAAATTCAACTTCTGAATGGGGAAACAGAGCAGCAAACTCGGTGTTAAGAAACACACGATCAAGACAACAAGTCACAGTGTGAGTGTGTCTTTCTCCAATCCAAGAGAACCTATCTCCTTTGTGTTTCATATCTAGTAAGTCACAACAAGCCAACATATGTCTAAAACTCCTAAAACTCCATTCATCACGAGGAGGGCCTCCTTTTTTTTCTGAGTTTGAGATCATCTCATTAAAATCTCCCATTAGAACCCAAGCACCATCCCTATTGGTTGAGATCTTTTCTAGACGTTCCCAAAGCTCATAACGTTTATTGTGAATGGGATGACCATAGACACAAGACAAATAAAAACTTAAATTATTATTAGTAATGTGTACATCGATAAGTCTTTCATCCTGAGAGATCTTGGATAAAGACACATTGTTTTTCCACATTAGAGCCAAACCTCCACTTCTACCTTGTGGAGGTTCAGTTATTACATTAGCAAAGCCTAAACTTAAAGCAAGACTATGTACAACATCACACTTATTCATAGTTTCCACGAGAAATAAAACATCCAACTTATAAATACGACACATACGATGTAATCTAGTACTAGTTAATGGCACTCCCACACCTCGACAATTCCAAGAGATGATCCTCATGTTGGGAACAGTAGGGGTACCGGGCCCCCCGCGCCTCCGTCAAGTCCTGTTGCCGAGCAAGATCCTTGGGACTCTGCTCTTTTCTGTTTTCGAGCCTGATGCATCACCGCCTTGTCTTCCACTTCCTCCCAGCGTCTGTAAAAAGCTTCAGTTTCCATCCTCTTCCTCTTTGGAACAGTTGTATCAGGGACATTGCTAGTTCCCTCACCATAAACAGAGCAAGGCTCAAGGAAACCCTCATGGTTTCTGATCCATTTGGCATGAAGGTAGCGGAGGCGTTCAGCAGTTAACTCAGTGTCTTCAAAGAGACTTGGCAGTGTCGACATGCTTTCATTTTGGTCTGCAAACTCCACCGATTTACCATTGAACTTGGTCAGCCCAGGAATGTCTTGAAAAGGATCAATTGTTTTCAGAGAAGAAGCCTCTGAAATGGTTTGTTGTTGGTTGTTTGTTGGGTCTCTAGGACCAGAGTCGTCATTGTCATCATCACCAGGGGCAGGAGGACTTTGAGGATCATCAAAGCCTAAAGTGCAGTCCTTGATATCATGTTTCAAAGAGCCACACTTAGTGCAGAAACTTCTCAAACGTTCAAACTTGAATTTCACAATTGTTCCCTCAGCATTGTTGAAGTGAAACATCCTTTGGAAGCGAAGGGGATTGTCAAAATTCCACGCCATCTGAACCCTTACAAACTCCACCATGGTGGCATTTTCATCAAAATCCACATGCTTCACTAAACCAATTTGGTTTCCCACATACTCAGCCATATCATTCGATAGATACAACAAAGGGATACCCTTGATTTGAACCCAGAAATTGATGATCTTCATCTCCTCATCACTGATGTTTGGGTACCAACGATGAACAGCAAGCATCCAATCGTTAAAAGCCCAGGGACCGCGGCGTTAAACCAGATTCAGAGCCTCCTCACTCTGGAACACAAATTGGACTCGTCCTTGACCCAAAATACGACCCACACAAGAGTCAGCAAATCCCCATACACGAGGCATCTGCCCAATAAGGGCTCGGAGGTTCTGTTTTCTGGGGTTGACCGTCGTAACCACCAAAGAGAATCGATTGGCAATAGCCGCACGAGCACAGAATTCCGGTGGTAAAGAGACCGGCGTTTCATCAATTCCCAAATCCAAATCTTGGATCGATTTTCGCAAGTAATCACTCATCTTTGAAAGCAATGTGGAAATGATCTTCAGACAGACAAAAGGAGTAGTGAATCGGATTAGAGCAGAGAAGGAATGGAGGATTCCGACATATATATAGTTTCTCTTCCATGGCGGTTTTGGTAAACGGTTATCTGAGAGAAGTTGAAAAACCGAAAACCGAAACGAAAAACTGCTCCGAAAACAAAGCAGAGAGAAACCGTTAGAATCCAAACCAGATATATGGCTTGATTCTGCCGGAAAAACACTCCGAGAAGGAGAAAAAAGAAGATGGGGATGGAGAAAGTTCCAATCGCCCACAAAAACCATATAAAAACCATATAATAGCCTTATAAAATTTTACAATAACTTTTACAAGAGGCTTATAAACCTTATAAATTCTATTAGGTTTTATTTTCCGCCATACCCCAAATTCTAGTAGACCGGGTATTCGGGTTTACCCGAACCCGAATGGATAGCCCGAATACCCAGCCTACCCCAAAGCAACCAAGTTATTGTCGGGAGATCTGAGATTGAGATTTGAGAGACTTGAAGGGTTTGGCTACTTGCAGGGTATGGCGGAAAAAGAATCAAGTGAACTCGGGATTACAAAAGCATCTTCAGTGCAAGAGAGAATCAAAAATAATCGAAAGCGAAAGCTTGAAACTTCCGAAAACCAGCAACGAAGCTGGGGCTCCTTGAGAAGTTGCGGATTGGCCCTAGTAAATTTTCTCCGAAATTCCTCCTAGCTTTATAGTTTTGTAGTGATTTTGATTTTGGATGATCTGATTGTCGTAGGGGTATAGAGTCTCACGGAACAAGCGCCTTACCGTTCTGACCAAAGTCTAACTGCGTCGTTTAATTTTGTTAGGGGTTTGATAAGGATTGGTGTTCTTATGAAGAAATTCAGTCTACTTGGGAATATAATTATGAAATCGCCCTTTTTGCTAGGATTGGACTCCACTGTCACAATTTGCAGAAGGTAACTCTCATCATCATCACTATTCTCTCTCTCTCTGTCTTTTGTCAAAAAGAAATTATAAGTTTTTACGTTTTTGACAGGGAACAAACTATAAGTTTAAACGCTTGGAAAAGTGTGGTACTCACTCGACTAGATACGAGGACTACTACATAACTTTCGAGGCAACGGATCCGACCAGCAGCTCGGTCTTCTCTTTTCAGACCATGTTAGGCAATGATTATAAGAATCTTACTTGGGGTATCGGTCTTACGTTGGCGAGCTTAGCCGCCAGAATCAAAGCAACACGTAAGAATCTATATTACCTCCATATGCATAACAGTTTTTATTCGGGACTTACTGTTTTTGGAGATGAATTTGTCAAAAGAGGACTAACTGTTTATAAACATCACTTTTTAGATGGTACCGAGAGTGTGGATGAAGTTTGGGACATGGCTGCAATAGATGATTTCTACAAAGGTCCGATGCCCAAATGGTTTTCTGATGAGGCCTTGGTCCGTGACGATAAAAAGTTTTACGTGGTAATAAGAAACATCCTTCATGTCCACATTGGAGTTTTTGAATTTTTGTTCTAGTTTTAATAAATTTCTGTTGATCATCATCATTCGCAGGTGCAAGAATCAGAGCTGCATGAGAATGACTGGCTGCAACTGCTCATGGAAGTCGCCTTCTACTCCAAAACAGAGAGTGTAAGTTCTTGAATGTCGCAATTCTTGTTCTCTCCCAAAAAAAATAAAAGCAAGTGAAACTTGTTTGTCTCTTCCCCTCTTTACGCTTGCCACAAATGTAATTGCAGGGTGTAAGCGCTTGCAAACCCTTGGAGATCAAGAAGGTTGTTGTACAAACTTTTGAAGAATACACAACAGAGGCTCGTGAGAAGCTCAAGGCAGATAATGCAATCTTCTACATAAGTTACAAGTGTATTGCTGATCCTTCAACACCCTGGGCTGGTGAGCACGACGCTATAATAAGGAAAACCATGGATGGGAAACCAGGGCACATGAGCCTTGAAGTTGCTGTCACTAAGGAACAAATAGAAGACAGAGAGACATGAGGATCTTGTCTGCTATATAATCTATCAGCTGCTATCTATTGGAAACTTTTTATCATGTTAGTGTTTATTATCTATGCACGGATGTTGTGTGTCTTTGGCTTGTGTTTATGTCTTCGACTCTTTGGACTAGAACGGAGTGGGGTCTATGTTTAAAATCTCTACTGAAGGATTTCTATTTGCAATGCATAATTATTATGAGTAACACCCACAAGTGCATCTTCTCCTTACAGTTGAATGGTTGATTGAGATTATACATCACAGTTTTGTCCGAGACGGAGACATTTGCATATCAGTGGTCACTGTGTCCAATGTTGGCTTGGACGACTCGTGTCGTATGCCACCACGGGTATACGTCGTGGGGATGGGGCCTATAATCGCCTTGCGACTTAGCTATCGTCTTTAAATGCTTTGGTCTCATTCACAGTAAATCTACTTTGGTTCTGTTCGGGTTACCTGTTGGATATTTTTGCTTTTTGCAATTGCAATTACCAAATTAAGATTGCGAACTAAGTCCTCGAATGTTTGTTTTTCTTTGAATTGTGAAGCTAAAAAAAACTGTGAGACAAGTTCTGTTAGATGAATTTATGCAGCCTCCGTAAAGTTTAATTATATGCGTTTCAAACGCACTTAACGCTTCGAACTTTTGACTAATCCAAGATGCACTGAATATTATCGTTATGGTTTGGTGTAATAAGTTAAGCAAAAACATGGATAAAAAAGCAAAGAAAAACTGAGGAATTGTTCATACCAAAAACATTAAACAAAGATCACATCATACGAAGCCTATACCTTGTGATTCAGCTTTGGAGCCCTTCATGAAAGTTGTAGGAAATTGAATTAGCTTTCCAACGGTGGTGAGTTTGTCTGAAACGGAGTTGCGGAGCAAAAGTTACAATCCGATCGGTTTACAACCGATCGACGAAACCGAGCGGCAAAATTGCAAAAATCTACTAAACAGATCCGATCGGTTGCAAACCGATCGAGAAACCCGATTCGCGACTCCTTCTTCTTCTTCTCAAATATTCCGCCGTTTCTCATTTAATTTGAAAACACAAAAATCTCTCTATCTCACTCGATTCTACTCCGATTTTAATGATTTTTGGCTCTAACCCATACGATTTTTGACAACCTTTCTGATTTTGGCACTCAATCATTCGATCTACAAAGGTATGTCCTCCAAAATCCCAATTTACAGTCCGTTTTTGGAAAAATCAAGGTGAAAAATCGAAAATCACTTCTCCCTGCTTGAATAGCTTCTTCTCAACGGTTTGATTCTAGATTATGGTTTCCAATGGTCAAGAACACATGCTTTGATTGTTTAATTGATGGATTAGACTTGATAAGTGTTGTTTGATTTTTGATTTGAGAAGAAAATCGCCCATGCTACTTCAATAGAGAAACCCAATCGATTTTGGGTAGATTATGTGCTTAAAATTGATGATTGTTGCTCATATAACAAACCCATTGTTTAGAATTGGTACAAAGTTTGAAGAATTTTGAATTTTGATAAATTTGGGTTTTTGAGTTTGGTAATTCTCGAAATTTTGGTGATTTTTGGAGAAATAGATGTTGATTTGGGTTTACAATGAGTTCAAAAATTGTTAATATAAATGACAAACAAATTTGGAGTTAGAACTATTTGATTTTGATCAATTCTTGTATTGATTTTGAGATTTTTGTGACTTGTTTTGTGAATATGTGTGTGCTTTTGTGTGTTTTAAGAGTGTTTTAAGTTTGTTTTGTTCATATTTTTGGTGATTTTGTTTGATGGGATTGATGAAATTATGCGATATCTTCTTTGTTGGAATCCTCATTGTGAAATGTCTTATATTTTGTAGGATACACATGGCTCCGAAAAAGAGACAACGTCCAGGAAAAGAGCCTATGACTGAAGAACGTAGTGAGCCTCAAGACATCCAATGGACACACCGAGAGAAAACATCACGAAGCGATTTCGAGAAAATCAAAGTCCATCCAACACGCTTCGTTGACAGATTTTTCAACATGCACTGAATATTATCGTTATGGTTTGGTGTAATAAGTTAAGCAAAAACATGGATAAAAAAGCAAAGAAAAACTGAGGAATTGTTCATACCAAAAACATTAAACAAAGATCACATCATACGAAGCCTATACCTTGTGATTCAGCTTTGGAGCCCTTCATGAAAGTTGTAGGAAATTGAATTAGCTTTCCAACGGTGGTGAGTTTGTCTGAAACGCAGAAAGTTAAAATGTTAGAATGTCATTAAGGGTGATATTTAGACTGTAATTATAGGATGCAGGAATATTACCTGTGAGCCATCAAGTAGTATTTTTCGTTGCTTTCCAGGTAGTGCTGTATAGCATGTATCGTAACCATGAGAAACAAATAGAAGAAAGCTCAACAAACAAAAAAAAAGGAAATGCTTGGGAAATAGAACATGCCTTTGCTTGGTCGCTCTCATCTTCATTTTCAATTGAAGTTTCATCCTCAGCAGCATTTGGCATACGCGTTTCATCTGCCTCATTCTCAAATCGACTGGTCAAAGATTTTGCCTCCTTTAACTTGGATCCAAGTTTCTGAAGGTACTTTTCAGTCTCTTAGTTGCTTTACTCGATCTGACTTGGCATCCTACACATTCGCCAACATTCATAATTACACACCAGCATAGAAGAATCAATATTAGCCTAAAAGTTCCATACTCAGTTCAGAGACCAAACCTGCACCATTCGGAGGTAACCCTCCACATCATTTATCTTTAACAAATTAATCTTCTCACGTTGAATTTTGTCAATCTTCTCGCGGTGAAGCCGTTCCTTTCTTTTGTGGAACTCCTTCACATACCTATTGAAACCCTTCAACCTTTCTCTCCTAACTTTAAACAAATCCTCTAGTTTTTCCCTGAAGCAAGGTTTCAAACAAGGATTAAGTACAAAGCAGTTTAAAATATCCGCTACTATTCGATTTACCTAACAAGAAAAATGAATTAGGCCAGAAAACTAATTGCACATACTTGTGAACTTCTAACCCCCCAAATAACTCCTTCTGCCTCTCACGAATTCTCCTCCTGTCTCTCTTCCTTCATCTTCTGCTCATACTTTTCCAGCTGCTTAATTCTCCGGCCATGCTTATGTTTCTTATATGACTTTAGATGCTCAACATCAGTTGCAATAGGTTTGAAGAAGTTGTAAACGAACTCACTGCTTCAACAAGTCAACATAACACTAGCAGCTGAGAGGTGATACAACAGGTTGAATATGTATATGCACAATTTTAACAGATAAGAAGAAAGTGACAGAATATCTAGATGTATGCCTGTTGGCTCGACTTATTAGCATAATAAGTATAAGAAGGCGAAACAACTCCATCCTAATATCTTTTAAGCAAATAACATACACTTTACCTCCCCAATCGCCGTTGTAGATTTAACAGCTGAAGCTTTTTCAGTTCTATTACACTCTTGGTCTTTGCAGATATATCCTCAGACAAACTCACAGATTCCTGCAGATTAGGATACATAAATCAGTGTCATCCAGATCCAGAATATATAACAGTGAGATTGTTAACTAATAAAGTAAGGATATAAGTACAACTAGTTCCTCGGTGATACTACAAATGTGAAGTACAACTAGTTTTTCAGTATTACGTCAAATGTGATAGTCATTTCAACAAAATTACCCCAAGGCCAGGACAGCTCATCTCACAGTTACTTATAATATGGAAGAGTGAAACGAAGAACCTCACCACAGGAAGTTTTATAATGAATTTTGTAAACTGAAGCAAATCAGTGTTCCTTAATGGAATACACATAAATAATAGAGTTACCATGTTGACAAAAAAAAAAATAATAGAGGTTACCAATGCTTGCCTAATACAACGTGAAATTATTTCATCTCAATGAGATCAGATCTAACATATTAGCTTGGTTGAAATTGATTCCTGAGATCAGCCGAACAGGTTCAGTGGGTAGAGCTGAAGATGGAATAGCTAAAATTTACCCGATCACAATGTCAGGCACATCTATATCCAGAATCAGATACTTAAATATGATCATTGATCTGTTCCAATAACAAGATCAAGAACACATAAAAGCAAGAACCGCCACAAACAACAAGCAATAGCATAATGCAAAAAAGTTGACAACTGGAAAAAATCAATCACTCATGGAAAACTAAAGATATCACCAACGAAAAGAAAACAGAGAAGGGGGCAAGAGAGAGACCTTCAACTCATTGAACCGTACACCAATTGCCTGGTCTGCTTTCTGCTGTTTAAG